GAAAAGAGGTGCTGAGAGAGACCAATTTAAATAGAAAAACTTTGCAAATGACAGGATGGTGTTAAGGTTGCAACACACAGGTAGGGTGGAGTGCATCAAAAAGAAAAATGTCCATTCTGTAATGGCAGAAGATATCAGAAAAATATGATATTTTTTGTAGTATAATCATTAATTATTTATCTAACACTAAATACTGATATTGTATTTGATACAGCTTATTTTTCCAATTCTAGCATTGCTAACTACAAAGTATAGGGGTTAGCATGTTTTTTTTTATTTTATCATCGTTTAGTTTTAGGTGGCATCTACTGTATGAAGACTTCTGATTTAAAATGTGTTCAAATTTGAGTACTATACATGGTTTTGTACCATATCCATCAATCAATAAAAAAACATTGGAAAAGATTAAACAAGTTTTGTTCTGAAACATATTGTTTTAGAAGAAATAAAGATTGTGGTAAGCTAATGGTGTGCATTGTATCGGATAGGTTTATGTGTAAGCCACCAATGAAAATGGGTGATGCAAAAATACAAAAATACTTTCCTTTTCCTGCTTCATTTAGTTGGAGAAAAAAGTCAGATGGCAAAAGAACTTTAAGAAAAACAAACGAAATGTTTGAGATTCCAACAAAGGGGAAAGCAGTTGAGAGGTGCTGGCAGACGTCTTGTTTGTTACTGATATTATCAAACTGTGCCAAGAGAGACAGAGCTCAGAAAAAATATGGAATTATTCCATCTGTCGATGATTCAAAAGGAAATATCATCGAACAGAGTATGTGATGGATGTTTTTGCAGACCTTACTGGTGCATGTTGCACTGTATGATTTTCCGCCAAGCTTAACTGAATGCTGATGTTTCAGTCTGCAGAATGAGGCAAAACAGACCCTCCAGCTGCACAACCACAAGGGTTTCAACATGCAAACTCCTTTCAATGTTTTGATTGCCTGTGCCTCAGTGTTGTTAATCAAATTTGCATGTGATTTCAAAAAAGCCGGTGTGAAATTGTCTGTAATTGTAACTTTGAAGTTAACGCAAAAACTTAAAAAAATTCATCTCTAGCATCCACTGTTAATTGGTCCATCTTGGTGAAAGATGTAATTAATGCATTTCTGGTCTTTCACAACCAGAAATAATCATAAACAGCCAAATCTGTTTTTCTTGTTAATGAGGGAAGTACATACAAGCTTTCTATTGGCCAAAACGCTGGCAGTGTGCAACAACAAGTGGGGAAGGGGCATTACTGGATCTCAGTAAAGGGAGTTTAAAAAATAGGAACAGTACATGAACAACAATTTGTGCACAATAGAAGTCGCTTTAAAAAAAAACCTGAGTGTATCTTGGTATTGTCAGTACACATAGGCCTGTTTTCATCATTTCTAAACTTTTCAATTTTAAGATTATAATACAAGGTGACAGGATGAAGTCACTGAGGGAAACTATTATGCTACAGCTTCTTGTACTCTTACTAAAAATGCCTACTGGGAGTCATTCTTGCCAGATGCCAAAACAAGCCAAACAGCTGAATTCTTTCCTATTCCTAAGGGTGAAACCAGCCGTCCTTCAAAAGAAATTCCCAATCTCATTCTGTTAGTCACTACCCACAGTTTAGAGTCAGTTAATTATTTAGTTTGTTATTTGATAAACATTTTCCCCAGCTGAAGGTTTGCAGAGGAGGAAACTTGCTACTCTGATAAGCCCTTACTTTGCAGAAATGAGTGCTGAGATTGATACATAGAGTTTATTACGTCCTTTTTGACTCACAAAACAGGAAAAAAATAATACTTTTTATGAATTTCTGTAGACTTAATGTGAAAAAACATGGGTCCTCCAGGACTTCGGAGTTAAATGATTCATTCATTGAACTCCACAGGGTAAAAACAAGCAGATTTGCATCCTGTGCTAGCATCAATCATCAGACTGTTCAGGTCCCTGAGCTTGTGAGAGTACCTGCCATCATTCTGCCTCTATACTCTCAATCGTCCCCTCAAGGTTACTGCCTATTTCCTTGCCTTCCTAACAGGATAAGAGCTGCATGCTGAGTGCATCTGCTGGTCCAACGCCAGGCAGGACACACTTCAGGTTTCAGCCCCAAAAAGGTCTCAGCTGCGATGAGGAGGTAAAAAAACAGCGACTGGTTTTGAATCTGCAAGTGTAATTATAAAGGCAGGTGGGTAAAAGATGTGCTGGCTGGACAAAAAAAAGGATTTGCGTTGAACTGAACAAAAGAAAAAAAGAAGAAGAATCGCAGAACAATAAGTATATAAGATAACATTCTAAAATTAGTGAGAATAAAAGGTAACAGATGTTATCTGTTACAAAACAGAGAAAATAAATGTACCAAAGTGACAGTCTAGCCAAAGAGAGATAAACAACAAAGCAATGAAAATAGCGAGACCAAATGAAAAGTCAACAGGGCTTAATGCAGGTACATCAATCTGTCTTATAAAACCATATCAAAATTTTTTCTATTGTTTTCATGTTGCAATCATAAACTTCAATGTATTTTATTAAGTTTTTGAGGGAAATCATTAGGAAAAATTCCAGAAACACCCTTGTAACTTTAACGGCATTGTGACTAGTATACAAATGAGTCACGTTAATCCCATTTCAACAAAGGCCTAACTTCCCCACTTGAGCTTACTTTTATCCCAACTTCCCCGTTTTGCGCTCTCACTCCAGTCACCAGCCACATCATTCTGGCATGCGGCGGATATCAATGATGGATGATGTACGCATTAATCATGAACGAGAAGACGGAGCGATCTAAACACACAGTCTCAAGTGGGAAAAGGGCGACCAATGGTAAACAAGCTGGGGACCTCTGAGCGTCGCTTAACTTAACATTATGTAACGTTGGATTGAGAGAAAATGTTAAAGGCTCTGCAAGCACGCAGCACTTTACCAGACATAAGCAAACACATCAATGACTCCCAGCCGAGTGAATTTAGGAGTCATATCTCAGTGCATTTGTATTAAAATTATAAATCTTCTATCAAAGCAAAATTTCTAGCCAAAATTGTGCCAAACAATATTCTAAGAGGAAATACCTGGAAGTGAAAGTGTCAAACTCTGCTGCCAAGCTGGCAACATCCTGAGGGATTTAAGTACATGGGCCTGATTGATTCAATTACACTTGGACACCTCAACACTGTCTGTGCTGGCAAGGCGACTGTTAGCAAATCCTCTGGACGAGGTTCCAAAGTGCCGCACTCAGCAGTGCCTCTATTAAATCCATCTACACACACACACACACACACACGCACACACCTGCCTCCTGCCCCACATGACTGCTGGAGTTTGACCGTCGATATGCTATGGCACATTTAGTGCCATGCTATTCATTAGGCTTGTCTGTGGGACCGTGTAGGAAGAATTACAAGCCAGTAAGTAAAGAACGGTAATAAAGAGGGGCAGATCAATAAACTTTCAAGCTGGATTTTTAAGTAAATGCGTGTCACACGCAGGAAGGGCACTTTTACATCAAGACAAATTTCACAGGGTGAGCATGCTTAGAGTCAGCTTGTTCCATTTTTATGAAGAACAAAATACTGCCTTGCAAAAATGTTGGTAGCCCTTTAGCCCAAATCTTAACATACTTTATCATGATGATGGGAGACCAGAATTGATAACTGTGATACAGAACAAAAAAAATATAATTAATTATTTTAAAATAAATACTTGAAAAGTATCCCTTCTCTATCTCAGTCATCTGAATTAGACACACTGCCTTCAGAAACATCTAGTTTATAATCTACATGTGTGTAATTCAATTCGCGTTGAAATATTGCTGTTCTGTGGAAGAGCCCAGAGGTCTGTTGGAGAACATCAGAGAAAAAAAACTGCATCATAAAGGCTAAAACGCAAAAGAAGACATGTCTGAGGTAGATTTTTAAAGCAGAGCGAGGTTATAAAATAATATTCTGAGGCTTGAACATTCTGCAGAGCTCTGTTGAATCCTCCATCTCAAAATAGTTAAGAGTATGGTACAACTATAAACACAGTAAGAAGACTGACACTATCCAGCCAGCTGGGAAAGGAGACAATTATTCAAAGAAGCAGTTAAGAAGCAAATAGTTACTCAGGAGGAGCTGCACAAACCAGGTGGGGGCTATAAAGAGGACAACCTCTGCCAATCTGGCCTAAATGGAAGAGCATGAAGAAGATAAATGTACGAAGTCCCATTCTTTTGTTAAGCCTTGTCGCAAACACAGCAAACAAGTGGAAAAAAGGTGCTCTGGTAAGCTGAGCCCTAAAACTGAGCTTTTTGGCCCAATTTATTGACTTTTTAGAAACCTGACAGAGCTTGATGATAAGAAAGAATAACAGAAACACTAGGACTGTGCGGTCAGCATGATGACCCGACAAACAACCAGAACTACAAAAGAATGGTTTGGATCACAGCACATCCATGACAGAATGGCTTAGTCAAAGTCCAGACATTAATCCAAATGAGAAAATGTGGAAGGAATGAACAATTTGTGTTTATATACGTTTTCTGTACAGTAAGAAAGAGAAGTTATTTGTACAGAAGGCTATACATCTGTTAGAGACATTCCCCCGAAACACCTGCAACTAAACCAGGTGGTTCTGCTAAACATGACTCAGAGGAGCTGAACTTTACAAGAGAAAAAAAAACTGAAACCATGTTTTATTTTTATTTTCCTTCTACTTCACAATAGTCCACTTTATGTTGACCCGTCATAAAATCCCAATAAAATACATGTGGAGGGAGGGAAAAGTTTAAGGAATAAGAATATGTTTGGCAAGGTATTGTATTTGGTTTAAAGTGAAAACAGTTCTGACTTTAATGATCGACCCCCATTTATACCCGCAATATGAGTCAGGGCGCACACGCAAGCAAATTCACCACCAGCAGCAGCAGCAGCAGCAACAGGCGAACAGACAGAGAGAGCGCGTCTTATTCATCCTGCATCAGACCCATTTTCAGTTTGCACACTCTCTTCACACAGCTGGTGGAGAAATGACGAGTGGACACCCAC